GTGCTCCACTGTTGGTTTTCCAGGAAGGGGTAAGAAAACCCCTCAACAGTCAGATGTGCATTGGCACAGTGCCAAGGTTAACCCACGGTCAATGATGCCCCTAAGTAAACGCATCCTCAATCCAGGCTTTAGATGTCGGAATTGGAAATATCACTGATATTCCATCCACTCCCATTCCTCAAACCAAATGATTTTTGAAGTTCCAGATTCCTATTCTTAAAGATGTCTTTGTTGACTGGTGCATCTGATGCATCTTGAGAGCATATCATTTCAGAGTAAGCTGCCCACAAGATTAACCACAGTTTAAAATAGAAACACAGTGATGAATAACAAGGAGTGTGCTGCAAGCCTTGGTCACATGGCAGAAGGATTCATAGGTTCATACAACACAGAAAAGGCCCTTTGGCCCATCCAGTCTGTGCTAACATAACTGCAATTAATGATGTGCTAACCCCAATTTCCTGCACTTGTCTCATATCCTTGAATGTTATTATATTTGAAATGCTCATTCAAATATTTTTAAAGGTTGTAAGGTTTCCAGCCTCCACTGCCTTCCCAGGCAGTGCATTCCAGATCCCCACCACCCTCTGGGGTTAGAGATGGGGCAGGGCTAGGGGTGGGACTGGGGTGTTGAGCCTGGGGGAGGTGCCTGGGAGGTGGGACTGGAATAGTGTTGGGGGTAGGGTGGGGGTGGAGCTGGGTACTGAAATGCAGGTCTGACTCTGTACTATGGCAGCCATTACTGGGGCTCCTTCGGAGGGCTGAAGAAGGCCAGGCTATGACCATCACCAACTAGAGACAATCTAACCACCATCCCTTAACATTTTATTGTTAATTATTACAGAGCTGGGCAAAGAAGTGGTAGATGGAATTCAACCCAGAAAAGTATGAAGTGATTCATTTTGGAAGGTCGAATTTGAATGCAGAATACAGGGTTAATGGCAGAATTCTTGGCAGTTGGAGGAACAGAGGGATCTTGGGGTCCATGTCCATAGATCCCTCAAAGTTGCTACCCAAGTTGGTAGGGTTGTAAAGAAGGCATATGGTATGTTGGCTTTCATTGACAGGGAAATGGAGTTTAAGAGCCACGAGGTTATGCTGCAGTTCTATAAAACCCCGGTTAGACCACACTTGGAATATTGTGTTCAGTTCTGATCACCTCATTACAGGAAAGATGTGGAAACTTAAGAGAGGTGCAGGGGAGATTTACCAGGATGCTGCCTGGACTGGAGGGCAGGTCTTATGAGGAAAGGTTAAGGGAGCTAGGGCTTTTCTCATTGGAGCAAAGAAGGACAAGAGGTGACTTGATAGAGGTTTACAAGATGATAGAGGCATAGATAGAGTGGATAGTCAGAGACTTTTTCCCAGGGCAGAAATGACTATTATGAGGGGGCATAATTGTAAGGTGTTTGGAGGAAGGTATAGGGGAGATGTCAGAGGTAGGTTCTTCACACAGAGAGTGGTGGGCGTGTGGAATGCGCTGCCAGCAGTGGTAGTGGAGTCAGATACATTAGGGACATTTAAGCGACTCTTGGATAGGCACATAGAAGATAGTAAAATGTAGGGTATGCAGGGTAGTTTGACCTTAGAGTAGGATAATAGGTCGGCACAACATCATGGGCCGAAGGGCCTCTACTGTGCTGTACTCTTCTATGTTCTATGTTCTATTCAATGGTGTTACCATCACTGAATCCCCACTCTCAACATCCCTGGGGGTTATCATTGACCAGAAACTCAACTGGACTCACCACATAAACGCAGTGGCTACAAGAGCAGGTCAGAGGCTGGGAATACTGCAGCGAGTAACTCACCTCCTGACTCCCCAAAGCCTGTCCACCATCTACAAGGCACAAGTCAGGAGTGTGATGGAATACTCCCCACTTCCCTGGATGGGTGCTCAAGAAGCTCAACACCATCCAGGACAAAGCAGCCTGTTTGATTGGCACCACATCTACAAACACCCACTCCCTCTACCACCGACGCTCAGTAGCAGCAATGTGTACTATCTAGGGATGGGCAATAAATGCTCGCCCAGTCAGTGATGCCCATGTCTCATGAGTGAAAAGAAAGAAAATCACAATGAATGGTGTGCCTGATGTTGCACTGTGTTCTGTTGAGCAGTGTCTCGTGTCTCTTACCTGTCCTAGAGAAACCTCTTACCTGTCCTAGAGAAGCCTCAGTATAGAGTCATAGAGCTTACAGCATGGAAACAGACCCTTCGGTCCAACTAGTCCATGCCAACCAGATATCCTAAATTAGTCTAGTCCCATTTGCCAGCATTTGGCCCATATCCCTCTAAACCCTTCCTATTCATGTACCAGTCCAGATGCCTTTTAAATGTTGGAATTGTACACGCATCACCCTCTGCGTAAAAAAGTTGCCCCTTAATTCCCTTTTAAATCTTTCCCCTCTCACCTTAAAGCAAGGCCCTCTAGTTTTGGACTCCCCTACCCTGGGGAAAAGACTTGATTATTCACCCTATCCATGTCCCTCATGGTTTTACAAACATCTGTAAGGTCACCCCTCAGCCTCCGATGATCCAGGGAAAATAGCCACAGCCTATTCATCCTCTCCCTATAGTTCAAACCTTCTAATATCCTGGCAACATCCTCGTAAAACTTTTCTGAATCCTTTCAAGTTCCATAATGTCTTTCCTATAGCAGGGAGACCAGAATTGAACACATGCTCCCACGAGGAGTTTGAACAGTTCATCAACTTTATTAACATCTTTCACCCCAACCTCAAATTCACCTAGGCCATTTTTGATACCTCCCTCCCCTACCTGGATCTCCCCGTCTCCATCTCTGGTGACCACCTCAACACCCATTTCAAACCCACTGACTCCCACAGCTACCTCGACTACACTTCCTCTCACCCACCCTCCTGCAAGAATGTGATCCCCTATTCCCAATTCCTCTGCCTCCGCTGCATCTGCTCCCAAGACGGAGCGTTCCACTCCCGGACATCCCCAGAGGTCCTCCTATTTCAAGGACCACAATTTCCCCCTCTGGGATCAAAAATGCCCTCAACCACATCTCTTGCATTTCCCATACTACTACCCTTAAAACCCCTCCCACCCAACAAAAATAAAGACAGAATTCCCCTGGTCATCATCTACCACCTTTGCCTGACACAACCTGTCCATCTTCTCTCCCACCATTCTGCCCCTCCCATCTCACTGACCAATCCCCACCACTGCCTACCTGCACTCACCTATCACCATCCCAACTACCTTCCCCAGCCCCACCCCTCCTCTCTCTATTTATTTCCCAGCTCCTTCCCCCTGAAGAAGGGTCCCGACCTGAAACATCACCTTTCCTGCTCCTTTGATGTTGTCTGGCCTGCTGTGTTCCTCCAGCTCCACACCTTGTTATCTCAGACTCCAGCATCAGCAGTTCCTACCATCTCTGGGTTTACCTGCTCCCCGGGGAGGGGTTAAATTTAAGGGGGGCATAGGGAAGGATGACACTGATCTGATAGGCCAGTTTCCTGCTGGATATATCCAGCACTGTAGTGGGGAGAAAGCAGAGTTATCGTTTCAAGTCTAGTGTCATAGAGTCACAGGGATACAGCAGAAAACAGACCCTTCGGCCCAATGCATCCATGCAGACCAGGTTTTCCAAACTAAACTAGTCCCATTTGCCTGCTTTTGGCCCATATCCCTCTAAACCTTCATATCCATGTATTTGTCCAAATGTTTTTTAAATGTTGTAATTGTACCCACCTCTAACAGCTTCCTCTGGCAGCTCATTCCATACACGCACCACCCTCTGTGTGAAAAAGTTGCCCCTCAGGTCCCTTTTAAATTATTCTCCTGTCACCTTAAAGCTATGCCCCTCTAGTTTTGGACTCTCACGTCCTGGGGAAAAGAGCTTGGGTATTCACCTTATCCGAGCCCCTCATGGTTTTATAAACCTCTATAATGTCACCCCCCAGACTCCTACAGTCCAGAAAAAAAAAGTCTCAGCTTGTCCTTATAACTCAAACCTTAGTAATATTCTTGTAAATCTTTTTTACACCCTTTCCAGTTTAATAACATCTTTCCTATAAAACAGGTTGAAATGTTAACTCTGCTTTCTCTCCACAGACACTGTCAGACCTGCTGAGTTTTTCCAGCAATTTCTCTTTCAATTTTGTTTCAGGTATTCATCATCTGAAGTTTGTTATTAAAATCCTGCTGGATAGTTTCAGGAATGTGCTGCCTGGGGGAATGGTGGAGAGATTCCACAGGACATTTCAAAAGAAAGCTGGATGTTCATTTGAAAGTGAAGAAGTTAGAGGGTTACAGAGATAGGGCTGGAGAATGGGACTTGCTGGGTAGCTCTTTTGGGAGCCAGTACAGACATGATGGGCTGAGTGGTCTCCTTGTGTACTGTAATAGTCAATGATTCTATAAGTTACTCCACAAGGATCTGTTCGCATTTGAAATTTCATCATTAATTTTTACCAAATGGTTGATATGATTGAGAATGAATATTTATAATTAAATATTAAAATCATTGATACTTTGGGAAGCAGGGCGTGGAACTGAAATGATGGAGTCACTTTGGAGGAGGAGCTGGGAAATATTACCGCACCACTTCTGGTTTGAGGCTGTAATTACAGTCTGACGTGTTTACATTGCCACTTTCCATTAGCATGTGCACAATAGAATTAGAATTTTAAAACATATTACAGATTTCCTTCACTTTCTACTACAATGCCTATGTAGTTAGGCCAAGTGGTCACTGAGTATTGCCTATTGAACTGTAGAAGGCATCACATTTAAACGTTTCTGGAGAAGGGTCTCGACTCGAAACGTCAGCCTTCCTGCTCCTCTGATGCAATCTGGCCTGCTGTGTTCCTCCAGCTCCACAGCTTGTTATCTCAGGCTCCAGCATCGGCAGTTCTTACTATCCCATTTAAACATTTAATGTTCTCATTGTGATATGATTTGTCAGGAGGGATTTCTAACGAAAATCTAGGCTAATTATCTTCCCTTTGCTGTCTAAAACTTACAGACGTTCCTGTGGTATGTCATCACAATGCTGCAGTATCACCGAGTCCTCCAGAGAAACTACTTTGGGAGTGCAGTGCCTACTCTGACGGTTATTAAAGCAGCTGCCCACCCACAAACAGTGAGGAAATGACTGAGCCCTTTTCGGTCTTAAACCAGACACCAGACCAAAAGCTGAGATTTAAAACTGGAAATTGCCTGTTTTGTGTGAATTGCTTTCACAGTAGATGGAACAATGATTCTGTAGTTGAGATGCTTTTTTCTGGGACACACTCCAATCCTGCTCTCTCTGTGCCATTCTTACTGGATTTTGAGAGACTGTCAGTTATTCTGGAGGGATAATCCAAAGTCTGTGACTCAGTAAATTGAAAGACCCTGCGCATTGTGTTCCAAAAGATTTGGGCGTCAAGGAAACATAGTCAAAATCCTGCAATTCTTTCTGATAATGTAACTGCTTATGTCCTGAGAAGGAGATCTGAATGAGAGGCCTTCAGTCAGGACCATATCCCGTAAGGATGTAGCAGAGGTTGTTCAGGGCTAATTGACAGCACCCTTCACCCCTCACCAACTGCTCGCTGAGGTGAGTATCAGGTGCCATCTGATGGAACACTCGAAACTCCATCCCCGAGGTGTCAAAACTAAACTGTCAGCCATAAGCACAATCCATCAGTCTCGAGATGGTGACAGAGCCATTGTCCATTCCACAGCAGATTTACAAACCATTCACAATCTCTTCAATTCCACAAACACGAATGAATGAAAAGCTGAATGTCTGATGCCAAAAAAGCAATCTGTTTAACCCACATTTGGCCAGCCACAGATTTGAGCTTCTGTAACTGTTGAAGGGGATTCTCTGGGATTTGTTGAGCAATTTCTCAGATCTTGTCACCCACTGCTCTCAAAAGGCTCCCAATAATGAAGCAGTTTTTTTTCTTTATTCATTTACAGGATGAGGGTGTCACTGGCTAGGCAGCATTTATTGCCCATTCCCTAATTTCCCAGAGGACAGTTAAGAATCACCCACATTGCTGTGGGTCTGGATTCACATATAGGCCAGACCAGGTAAGGATGGCAGTTTCCTTCCCTAAAGGAGGTGTAAGATAAGACCAGCTGTAAAGCTCAGCGTTTAGCAAACTACACGGTGAGTGTTAGCCAGTGTAAATGTGCAACAGGGAAGGTAAGTGTGGAGAAGAGAGTATATTCATTGATAGTGAGCAGTTTTCAGCAAACAAGAACATGGCTCAATGTTGTTTCTTTGGGATCTGGGGGTGAAGGTAAACTATGTTGTCCACCTCATCCTTTTAACCCTGTTTTTCGTGGTCTTTATGGTGGGGAGGGGAAGGTTATACCAGTGCAATGGCCAGGACGATGGTTTTATTGGGTTGTGGTGCAGGTGGAGAAAGTGTTGTTGGAATTCGAAGTAGCAATGACCATAGTTATGTGTAAAATAGAACGATCAAGAGAGAAAGCACGAGAGCCTCTGATTGAAGAGAGCAAGGGAAAGTTCTTCCTGGGCCTTAGCAGGCTGGGCCGGTCTGTGCGTCTATTCCCTCCTGGGTCAGTCTAGGACTGCCGCATGGACAGGCGGGTTAAACGTCACTGTGAACAAACCCGCCAGCTGTCTTCCACAAGAGGACAAACACAACGGTGACTTTGAACAGTCATAATCAAAGTTTATTTCTGCACTGGGGCACTGATTACGAGCAGCAACAGGCTTATTTGCTCAGTGTCAAGAGACATCGTAAAAAGTAAATGTTTAACAGTTTAATGCCACCTTCAATGGGAGCCGCGACAGTGACTGAGCGAGAACAACATACACTGATAGCAACCTGAAAGTCTCAGCCTTGTTCACCTGTCAGTCTCCCACAGAATGTCTCACCTAGAAACACTGGGTGAAACCATGGAAAGATAAAACTGGGAAAATGTCCAGAAATATTGATTAAAGTATAAAGTACAGCAAACTCCTCCAACATGATAAGAAACATTAGAGATGTAAAAGCAGACAGAATGTGAGAGAAAAAATGAAGATGGTTGTGATTGTTGGAGGTCAGTCATCTCAGCTCCAGGACATCTCTGCAGGAGTTCCTCAGGGTAGTGTCCTCGGCACAACCATCTTCAGCTGCTTCATCAATGTCCTTGCCTCCATCATAAGGTCAGAAGTGAGGATGTTCGTCGATGATTGCACAACATTCAGCACCATTCACAACTCCTCAGATACTGAAGCAGTCCATGTTCAAATGCGACAAGATCTGGACAATATCCAGGCTTGGGCTGACAAATGGCAAGTAACATTCACGCCACACAAATTCCAGGGAATGACCATCACCAATAAGAGACAGTCCAACCACCACCTTGATATTCAATGACATCATCATTGCTGAATCCCCCACTTTCAATATTCTGAGGTTACAGGATTTTGACCCAGCAACAGTGAAGGAACGGTGATAAATATCCAAGTCAGGATGGTGAGTGTCTTGGAGGGAAACTGGCAAGAGGTGGTGTTCCCATGTATCTGCTGCCCCTTGTCCTTCTAGATGGAAGTGGTTGTGGGTTTGGAAGGTGCTGTCTGAGGATCTTTGGTGAATTCCTGCAGTGCATCTTTTAGATAGTACTCACTGCTGCTACTGAGTGTCGGTGGTGGAGGGAGTGGGATGTTTGTGGATGTGGTGCCAATCAAGCGGCTGCTTTGTCCTGGATGGTTTTGAGCTTCTTGAGTGTTGTTGGAGCTGCACCCATCCAGGCAAATGGGGAGTATTCCATCACACTCCTGACTTGTGCCTCGTAGATGGTGGACAGGGTTTTGGGAGTCAGGAGGCAATGGCCTAGGAGTATTATCTCTAGACTATTAATCCAGAAACTGAAGTAATGTTCTGGGGACTGGTGTTCAAATCCTGCCAAGGCAGATCATGGAATTTGAATTCAATAAAACTCTGGAATTAAGAGTCAACTGATGACCATGAATCCATTGTCATTTGTTGGGAAAACACCATCTGGTTCACTAATGTCCTTCAGGGAAAGAAATCTGCTTTCCTCACATGGTCTGGCCTATGTGTGACTCCAGACCCACAGCTATGTCATCAACTCTGAACAGCCCTCAGAAATGGCTTAGCAAGCCACTCAGTTCAAAGGCAACTAGGGACACGCAATAAATACTGGCCAGTCAGCAACACTCCCCTCCCACAAGGAAATGAAAAGGAAAAGGTGAGTTACTTGCCATAGTATTCCCAGCATCTGACCTGCTCTTGTAGCCACTGTGATGACAAGGTGTAGAGCTGGATGAACACAGCGGGCCAAGCAGCATCAGAGGAGCAGGAAGGCTGACGTTTCGGGCCTAGACCCTTCTTCAGAAATGGGGGAGGGGAAGAGGGTTCTGAAATAAATAGGGAGAGATGGGGAGGCGGATAGAAGATGGATAGAGGAGAGGATAGGTGGAGAGGAAACAGACAGGTCAAAGAGGTGGGGATGGAGCCAGTAAAGGTGAGTGTAGGTGGGGAGTTAGGGAGGGGATAGGTCAGTCCAGGGAGGACGGACAGGTCAAGGGGGCGGGATGAGGTTAGTAGGTAGGAGATGGGGGTGGGGCTTGAGGTGGGAGGAGGAGATAGGTGGGAGGAAGGACAGGTTAGGGAGGTGGGGACGAGCTGGACTGGTTTTGGGATGCGGTAGGGGGAGGGGAGATTTTGAAGCTTGTAAAATCCACATTGATACCATTGGGCTGCAGGGTTCCCAAGCGAAATATGAGGTACTGTTCCTGCAACCTTCAGGTGGCATCATTGTGGCACTGCAGGAGGCCCAGAATGGACATGTCGTCTGAGGAATGGGAGAGGGAGTTGAAATGGTTCGTGACTGGGAGGTGCAGTTGTTTAGTGCGAACCGAGCGTAGGTGTTCCGCAAAGCGGTCCCCAAGCCTTCGCTTGGTTTCCCCGATGTAGAGGAGGCCACAACGGGAACAGCGGATGCAGTATACCACATTGGCAGATGTGCAGGTGAACATCTGCTTGATGTGGAAAGTCTTCTTGGGGCCTGGGATGGGGGTGAGGAGGGAGGTGTAGGGGCAGGTGTAGCATTTCCTGCGGTTGCAGGGAAAAGTATCGGCTGGAGGGGAGTGTGGAGCAGACAAGGGAGTCACGGAGAGAGTGGTCCCTCCGGAAAGCAGATAAGGGTGGGGAGGGAAAAATGTCTTTGGTGGTGGGGTCGGATTGTAGATGGCGGAAGTATTGGAGGATGATGCGTTGGATCTGGAGGTTGGTGGCGTGGTATGTGAGGATGCGGGGGATTCTGTTTTGGTTGTTATTGCGGGGAGGGGGTGTGAGGGATGAGTTGCGGGAAATGCGGGAGACACGGTGGAGGGCGTTCTCGACCACTGAAGGGGGGAAGTTGCGGTCCTTGAAAAACGTAGCCACTGTGTTTATTTAGTGAGTCCAGTTCCGTTTCTGGTCAATGGTACCCCTCAGGATGTTGATAATGGGGGATTCAGTGATGGCAATTGCATGTCAAGGGGCAGTGATTAGATTGTCCCTCATTGGAGATGGTCATTGCCTAGCATTTGTATGGCATGAATATTACCTGCTACTTTTCAGCCTGAGCCTGGATATTATTCAGATCTTGCATTTGAACATGGACTGCTTCAGTACTTTGGCTTTGATGACACCTTTGTGAAGTGCCACGGGATTTTGCTAACATCAAAGGTGCTATGTAAATGCAGATTATTCTTGTTGAATCTGCTTTTGAGCTCAGCGCATCCCAGGACTCAGTGGGACATCAGTAGGCTCAGTTGGGATTTTAGGGTAATTATAGACCATAGATTGAAATCAGCCAGCTCTCACAGCCCTGTGAGCTGAGAGCCTTCTGTGTGGAGGTGAATCTGTTTGAGCTAAGATTGAGGGGACAGCCACATAAATTTCTCAATGAGAATTAAACTGATAGGATGGGGTTGATTAGTTCATGTTATGCAGCAAGCATCTGCTTTCGAGCGATGTATTGGGATTCTACCAACTCACTGTCCTGCCAAAAATCACAGGACACATTCCAAACTGACCATGCGCCAAATGTCTGATTAATAATGACCATCTCCTGAGTCAGTGAGACTCATCAAAGCCCTGTCACCCACCGTCCGCTCTCCATCTCAGTTACTCACAGAGGAAATCGACTGGTGTCTGCTTACAAATAAACAGGGAGGTAAACATATGCATTAAATCACTAGTACATGTGAGGGGAGAAGGATTTCCTGAGCTAATTGCTTTCCGTTCTTCACTCTGCCAGTGCCTTGAACTTCTAACAGTCAAGAAAGCAACAGACACACAACACACACACTCACACACTCACACACCCACACACACAACACACACACTCACACACATAGATACACACAACACACACACTCACACACATAGATACACAAACAGACACACACACACACATAGATACACAAACAGTCACACACACACACACACACACAGATACACAAACAGTCACACACACACACACATACACAGATACACAAACAGTCACACACACACACATAGATACACAAACAGTCACACACAGACAGACAGACATGCGCACATACAAACACACATTGACAGTCACACATAGATACAGAGACACATCAACACAACGATACATGCACTGACCACATCTGTATAGACACACATGCACACTCACAAACATATGCAGACTGTTTAAAAAAAATTAAAACCCATGGTATCTTGTGGAATACAGCAACTGGATACAAAATTGTAAAGGAAGACTGTTTCCATTTAGATTCTATAGGGCTTGGTGCTAGGTGCCTCCTTCATATGGCAAAAACAAAGGTTGTGATCATGGTCCAGCTCTCTCTTGGGGAAAGCTGCCTAGTGGTGGTTTAACCTCAGGGCCACCATACCTCAGGGTGAGGGGAGAGGTTGAGAGGGTGGGTCTTTCAGGATAGTTACTCTGCATTGCAAACCAGGCGACTGAGCTAACGATTTGGACATAATTGTAGCAGCATGTTTACAGACAAAACAAAACTTGGCCAAGTGGTTAACGGTGCGGAGGACACCTATAGACTGCAGAAGGTCAGGTGGGCAGAATAGCAGCAAATGGAATTCAATCTGGAGAAATGTAACATGATGCATCTGGGGAGGTCAAACAATGTAATGGATTACAGAAAGCAAATGGAAGAATACTGAGAGGTGTACAGGAAGTAGCAGAATTGGCGTGGGTCCCTGAGGACAGCTGAATAGTGTGATAAAAAGTTTAAGACAGCATAAGGAACCTTTCCTTTACTTATATCTACAATTTAATTCATGGAATGTGCACGTCATAGGCTGGAGCAAGTTCTGAGCACAAGTCTTCAGTACTCTAGCCGGAATGTTGTCAGGGCCCATAGCCTTTGCAGTATCCAGTACCTCCAACCGTTTCTTGATATCACATGGAGTGAATCAAATTGGCTGAAGACTGGTATCTGTAATGCTGGGGACCACTGGAGGAGGCTGAGATGGATCATCCACTCGGCACTTCCGGCTGAAGATTGCTGCGAATGCTTCAGCCTTATCTTTTGCAGTGATGTGCTGGGCTCTTCCATCATTGAGGATGGGGATATTTGTGGAGCCTCCTCCTCCACTGAGTTGTTTAAATATCCACCACCATTCACAACTGGATGTTTCAGGACTGCAGAGCTTAGATCTGATCCGTTTGTTGTGGTATCACTTAGCTCTGTCTGTCACTTGCTGCTTTCGCTGTTTGGCGTGCAAGAGGTCCTGTTTGGTGGCTTCATCAGGTTGATACTTCACCTTCAGGAATGCCTGATGCTGCTCCTGGCATGCCCTCTTACACTCTCCATTGAACTAGGGTTGATCCCCTGGCTTGATGGTAATGGTTGAGTGGGGGATATGCCGGGCCATGAGGTTACAGATTGTGCTGGAGTACAATTCTGCTGCTATTGATGGCCCACAGCACCTCATGGATGCCCAGTCTAGAGTTGCTAGAACTGTGCGAAGTCTGGCCCATTTAGCACGGTGATAGTGCCACACAACACAATGGACGTTGTTCTCAATGTGAAGGCGGGACGTCGTCTCCACAAGGACTGTGCGATGGTCACTCTTACCGATACTGTCATGGACAGATGCATCTGCAGCTGGCAGATTGGTAAGGATGAGATCAATTATGTTTTTCCCTCTTGTTGGTTCCCTCACCACCTGCCGCAGACCCAGTCTAGCAGCTATGTCCTTTTGGACCCGACCAGCTCGATCAGTAGTACTGCTGCTGAGCCACTCTTGGTGGTGGGCATTGAAATCCCCCACCCAGAGTACATTTTGTGTCCTTTCCATCCTCAGTGCTTCCTCTAAATGTTGTTCAACATGGAGGGGTATCGATTCATTAACTGATGGGAGGGCTGCATTACCAGGAGGTTTCCTTGCCCATGTTTGACCCAATTCCATTTAACTTTGTGGGGTCTGGAGTTAATGTTGAGGACTTCAAGAGAACTCCCCCCTAACTCTATGCCACTGTGCCGCCCCCTCTGCTGGGTCTGTCCTGTTGGTGGGACAATTCATTAGCTGAGGTATAGAATGTAAGAGCAGGGAGATTATGTTGGCACTGAGAAATCATCAGTTAGGCCACAGCTTGAATAGCGCATGCATTTCAGGTCACCTTGTTTCAGAAAAGATGCAACTAGGCTAGCAAGGGGAGAGAAGAGATTGATGAGAATGTTGCCAATGCCCGAAAACTACAACAATGTGAAAAGGTTGGAGATGCTGGAATTTTCCTCCTGGGAAAACAGCAGGCTGAGGAGGATTTGCACTATGTTGTGAGGGGTCTGATACTGTGGCTGGGAAGGGCATGTTTCCCTTAGCAGATGGGTCAGTGACTAGGAGTTGTGGATTTAAGGAGAAGGTACCAGGATGAGTGGAGAGATAAAGCAAGGCTTTGATCACCTAGAGGGTGGTCAGGGTCTAGAACGCTCTGATGAAAGGGGGCACAGGCAAAAACAATCAGGACATGTTAGAGGAGTCTGGATATAGTCCTGAAATCTGGGAACCTTCACTGGTACCAACCAAATGCTGCCTCACCAGCGATGCCCTCATCCCATGAATGAATAAAGAGAAAATAAATAGGATTAGGCGAAGCAGCTCATTTCTCAGCCAGTGCAGGTATGATGGGCAGAGTGGCCTTGTTCTGCGCCATAAGTATTTGGAATATCTGAAGAGGAGAAATGTTTAGGGATGTGGAGACAGGATGGAGGAAGGGCAGTTGATCCTTGCAAGAGATGTAAAGACCATGTCATTTTATTTCTCTGTATTTTGAATTCTGGATTTCAACAGGAAAAGATCTGCTTAAACACAAAGGATTGTTGCTTGAAAGTAAGGAACCTGATCTTGTGAACAGTGTTTACACAGCTGCTGGTTCCAATAGGAGATGAAGTGTAGTTTGCAGACAAGCTGGAGCTGAAAGGTCATATACAAATGGAGCTTTGGTTGGTAACAAGTCGCTGATTGGTCAGTGTTCTGATGATCAGTAATTGATGAGAAAGGCCTTCTGCTTGCCAAAATCTATGTGATTAATGCTCAGGTAGTTGAACAGTTCAGGGTCATAAACAAGATTGTGAGAAGACTTCAGACCTCCATCAGTTCAGGAGTTCTCTCTGTTCTCTGCAGTAAAAGCCTCTTTAAGCTTTTTGTGGGGTGCACAGTGGCTCACTGGTTAGCACTGCTGCATCATAGCACCAGGGACCTGGGTTTGATTCCAGCTTCGGTTAATTGTCTGTGTGGAGTTTGCACATTCTCCCCGGTGTCTGCATGGGTTTCCCCTCACAGTTCAAAGATGTGCAGCTTAGGTGAATGCTAAATTGCCCATAGTATCCAGGGATGTGTAGGTTAGGTGGGTTAACCATGGGAAAAACAGGGTTACAGGGATAGAGTGGGGGGATAGGGTGTTGGTCTTTGGTGCAGTTTGGAGGATCAGTGTAGACTTGATGGGCTGAATGGCCTGCTTCCATGCTGCAGGGATTCTATGATTCCCAGCATGAAGAAACGAACTTATCTTTCCTTCCACAGTTGCTGCGAGCTGTGACTTTTAACTAAATAGGTCAGAGAACTTTTCTAAGTGAACCAGCCACCCTGTGCCTCCCACAAACCAATGGAAACATCCAGAGAAGGAAGACTGAACAGCAAAGTTCAAATCAGTACAAGAGTCATCGCAGCAAATCCTGTGACCAGGAACCATCGAACTGATCTCCCGTCTTTCCATTATTTCTCTGTCTATAAATTCTGTGCCTGTGGACTTCCCTCCACTCCACCTGATGAAGGAGCAGTGCTCCAAAACTTGTGATTTCCAATAAACCTGTTGGTCTATAACTAGTGTTGTGTGACTTCTAACTTTGTCTACCCCAATCCAAAACCGGCACCTTCACATCACATGTATGTAGGTGAGAGAGAGAGACTCCCTCACACATACATACACTGGACTCACTCATATGCATACACGCACACGCACATGCACAAACTAACATACTGACACAAATACAATCCAATTGGGTCACTAGATCATTAGTACAGGAAGGTCGTTGTCTGAGATTTTCCCTGTCCCGTTCCTGGGTTACTGAAGCCAATTGAAATACGCCCAGCACATGAAATATCAACAAACTAGGCACAGGGACCAAACATGGGATCTTTGTGTTCCTGTCTGATTCAGCTCCACTTTGAGAAACCACTATGTCATTGCAATTAAAGATGATTCAGTGTCTCAACAGTCCATTTTCCCTTGACCCAGTTTGTGGGACCAAATGAACTCTGATTGATTTCGCTGAATTACAAACTCCCCAGAAAATAGATGATGTTGGCCATCAGTGATAACGCTGCAGTTTTGAACAAGATGAGACTTTTAAACATAAGTTCTGTTGATGATTGGTTGCAGATGTTGAATATGTTGTTTGACTGTTTTGGCTGAAGGACAGGGTCCTTATAGAATAAAGCCCAGACATAACATCTGCTACCTGATGGTGAATTCATGGTGAAATGGCTGTCTGTTTCTATCATGTGTTTAGTTAAAGTAAATGTGTGAGGGACTGAAAGTAAGCCCCAGGGAGGGTGGACACTCATCATATTGACTAGCCAACCAGACAAACCAACCAAGAAATGTCGAATTTCCTTTTCTAGTTCTTTGCCAAATTCAATTAGAAAAGCCACAGTTCAGTTTTCCTTTTGAAATAAAAGCGAGGCTGAATTGAGGCAGATTCCCAAGAATCATGTTGGCTTTGGGAACAAATGCTGTTTCCGCATTGGGAAACAGGATGGGAAGCTGGAGACTGGGATCATTGACTCAGCACTGGACAATGGAAGTTCATTAAAAACTTCCACCTGATTAAATAGAATTTACTTTGTCACTCAGGCACTAAAATTCCTGCTCATGGATGTCTCTTCCGGTTGATCCCAGGTCATGTGTATTTCCTCTTTGGGGGTCATCTATGGGATTAATATCTTCTGGTAGAAATATGGAATGTTCAGGTCTCAAAATCCATCTGATTGGTCCCTCAATCGTTGATCACAGGTTTAATCTACTTAGCACCTGAGTGCTGTGGTGGTGCAGTGGTAGTGTTCCTACCTCTGAGCCAGGAGGCCCAGATTCAAGTCCCACCTGCTCCAGAGGTGTGTTGACTGATGCAACAAAACAGAGAACAACTGGGAAATTATGAACTCCCAAGATTCTCAAAGAATCTCAGTGACAGTGTCTGGTTGTATACGCTGCTGTGTTATCGCAGCAGGGTTCAGTCTGGGCCCAAGCAAAGCTGGGTGCAATCACTTGGGTCGATCTGATCACAGTTACTTGCTGCTTGAAGTCAATGGTGGTTCATAGGCCAGCAACAGACTGACCCTGACACCGGGCACTTGTACCTTCACTTCCCTCTCTTACAATTTGGGTGTGTGTGACTTCTCTGGAGTAGATTAAAGATCGCATGGGACCATTATCGAGAAATGCAGCTGTGGTCCTCTCGGGATCTGGTCTGCATCGATTCCATCATCATGGAGCTCTTTCTGGGAAATGCTGACCACTGTCTTCCCAAAATAATATCAGAGTAGGTGGAGGCCATTCAGCCCCTGGAGACTGCTCTGCTATTCTAGATCATGGCTGATCACCTACCTCCACTGGTTCTGGGTTCCAAACCCAGGGGAATCGCAGTTTTATGCATCTGCTCCGTCAGTCCCTTTCACACTTTTGTAACTTTCTATGAGGTCATCTCATTCTTTTCAAAGCCAGAGAATCCAGGCCCAGTCTCCACAATCTCTCCTCACTCAACAGTCCCACCAGAAAAAAAGAATTATAACAATAATAATATGTCCTTGCTTGTTCCTCAACATATTGCCCCAGATAACTATCTTAAACACATTCCAAAAATTTTCCTCCACAGCTTTGCATATCAGAGCATACGCATCATTACTGCAGACCCTTCCCACAAGTACCACTCTTTGTTGCATTGCCTCATACTTTCCCAACAGCAACCTCCATCCCCCCTACCACACCCTTCAGAGAAACATAGGAATTGGGGCAGGAGGAGGCCATTTAGCCTTCGAGCCTGCTCCCCCATTCAATATGATCGTGGCTGATCCTCCAGGTCAGTCCCCTGTTCCTGCCCTTTCCCTGTACCCCTTGGTCCCTTTAGCCCCAAAAACTGTAGCTAACTTCCTCTTGGAAACACTTGATAGTTTGGCCTCAACCATTTCCTGTGGCAGAGAATTTCACAGGCTCCCCAACCTCTGGGTGAAGGCATTTCTAATCTCAGACCGAGAATGGCCTGACCCAGTCTTCGCCAATGCCAGGCCCTTACTCCAGCCACCCCTTCTCCCAGTGTCAGGCACCTGGATATAAGTCAGTAATATCTGACAGATTTCTGATCAAGGTGACAGAACCCCTGTCCTTCCTTTGCCATTTAAACCCCTCCTGTACTGTTCTTGCCACCAGGGTGAATGGATTAAATTATTCCTAAAGGTGCTGTCTGTAGCTCCTGCTGTGTGGCATTGAGAAACAGTCTGAAAACAGAGACGGAAAATAAAAGTGGAGGTGGGGTTGGGAAGAGCAAAGGTTAACTGAAAGAATAAATAATCTGCATGCAACAGATCAAACTGATAATTCTTGTGAAATGACAGCTGTTGTAAACAGTTTCACATTTAGTCCAATTATGCTGGAAGGTTAATGATTACACATCATTACTTCACTGCAAAAGTACAGCTGAATAGTTTATAAATGAGATCAAGGCCAAACTGAGAGACCGCAGACATTCCACGGCCATTCATTCTCGTTATACTTCCCGCAATTCAGCTCAGTTCCCGCGCTTTCTTCTATCATGGGAATCAATGAGGAGGAAGTGATACAGGAAATGGCCATCAGTCTCTACCTATTTAAAAACTCTCCAGGCCACATTTACTACAACACAAACACTTTCCTCTGCTATAGTTACGAGATGGCGTGAGCTGGAAATGTATTGGTTCTACAGAAATTGGTGGTTTACACATCTCCCCCCACAAAACGACTGCTGATTATGTTTGGGGGGTGGGGGTGGGGAGTGACTTTTAAGTTTCATGATTTTAAAAATTCAACTGTAGTTTTTTAGAAACAAGAAAAGAAATTGCTTGGAAAGATCTGCAGGCCTGGCAGCATCTGTGGAGAGAAATCAGAGTTAATGTTTCAGCTCCAGTGACCCTTCCTCAGAACTGATGGTAGCTAGGAAAATTTTTTTTATGCAGAAGACAGAGTGGGGAGAAGGGAGTAAGGAATAAACGATAGGTGGGGATAGAGCCCAAAGAGAGAACAACAGTTGGACAGGCAAAGGAGTGAATAATAGTCTGCCTAGGAGGGTTGAATAGCTGCAAATGGAGTCTATTAGTGGCTAACAATGGGTTGTATGTAATAGCAGACAATGCAATATCAAGAACTGGTATGTGGGGGTTGGGGTGAGGACTTGGGACAAGGTGCCTCAAGCCCTGAAATTATTGAGCTCAATATTGAGTCCGGAGGGCTGCAGGGTCCCCAAGCGGAAAATGAGGTGTTTTTCTTCCAGCGTGTGTTGGGCTTCACTGGAACACTGCAGCAAGCCAGAGACAGAGATGCTGGCCAGGGAGCAGGGTGGTGTGTTAAAGGGGCAGGCAACAGGTAGTTCAGGGTCTTTTTTGTGAGCAGAATGTAGATGTTCTGCGAAGCGGTCACCAAGTCTACGCTTTGTTTCCCCAGTGTAGAGGAGACCACATTGTGTGCAGCGAATGCAGTCGACTCAATTCTGGGAAGTGCAGGTGAAGTGTTGCTTCACCTGGAAGGTAAGTTTGGGCTTTTGGATACTGGGGAGGGAGGAGGTAAATGGGCAGGTGTTGCACCTTCGCCGGTTACAAGGGAATGTGCCGTGGGGCTGTGGGGGGTATTGGGAGTGAAGGAAGTGTGGACCAGGGTGCCCCAGAGGGAACGGTCCCTGTGGAAGGCGGACATGGGAGGGGAGGGGAGGGGAATATGTGCCTGGTGGTGGCATCTTGCTGGAAGTGGTGGAAATGGCATCTGATGATCATCTGGATGTGGATGCTGGTGGGATGGTAGGTAAGGACAAGGGGAACCCTATCACTATTGTGGGAGGGAAGAGAAGGGGTGAGGGTGGAAGTGTGGAAGATGGGTCAGGCCCGGTTGAGGGTCCTGTCGATGATGGTGCTGCAGAATCCTCGGTTGAGGAAGAAGGTGGACATTTCGGAGGCTCCATTGTCGAAGTTGGCCTCATCTGAACATATATGTTGGAGACAGAGGAACTGAGAGAATGGGATGGAATCTTTACAGGAAGTGGGGTGTGAGGATGTATAGTCCAGGTTGCTGTGGGAGTCAGTGGGTTTGTAATGGATATTAGTGGCCAGTCTATCCCCAGGAATGTAAACAGAAATGTTGGGGAAGGGAAGGGAGGAGTCAGAGATTAACCAGGTGAAAGCGAGGGCAGGGAGGAAATTGGAGGCGAAATTGATAAACTTTTCCAATTCCAGAAGAGAGAGAGAAGCAGCACCAATGATATCATCGATATACCAGAGAAAGAGTTGTGGGAGGGGTCTGGAATAGGACTGGGACAAGGAACGTTCCACGTACCCCATGAAGAGACACGTGGGTACCCACAGCCTCTTACCTGAAGAAAATGAGAGGAGTTAAAAGAGAAATTGTTGAGAGTGAGGACAAGCTCGGCCAAGCAAAGGAGGGTGGTGGTGGGTGGGGATGGTTCAGGTCTTTGCTCCAGGAAGAAGCGGAGAGCCCTGAGACCCTCCTGGTGGATGATGGGTGTGTAAAGGGATTGCACATCCATGGTAGAGAGGAGG